AGTATGTTAAAAACATCATTTTTTCAGTATATTGTTTGTTTTGCATCCTTACAATGTGCTAAAGTTTACAACTTTTTGTTATATTTTACATTACTTTTTTATGCGAGATTTTATATATTGTCTTGAAACGTTTGTTCTTTCTAGCCGAAGATCTAAAAAATAATATGTTGACATGAATATTAAGATCTGTTTGATACTTAAATATTTAGTTTTTCATTTCTTTTTTTAAACTGCAAAATATCTTCCATTAGGTTTTTCGTTTGCCAACCTTCAGAAAAAGCTGAAGAGTTGGAAAAAAGTCTAATGCTTTATCGAAGTAATCCTCATGGAAACTCAAGCTATGGAAAACTATGGACTACAATATTAGAATTTCCGACATTAGAAAACCAATTTAGTCTTCTATCTGATCTTCCCAACCATCATAAATGGATGTGGGATAAACTTATAAAGATATTGAGATATGAACAGAAGTTTTCAACGTCATGTCGCTATTTTCCAGGATCACCTAGAAATAGAATTCTTCAGGCCTTATTTTACCGGAATAATTCTATTGACATTATCAAGTCGTGTTTAAAAAATATTTTTAACATAAAAGAGCCAGTCATGTATCCATCAAGTAAAGGAGACCTAGCTCATAAATCAACAATTGCAAAAAAGATTAAGTTGTCTTCTTTAGATTACGTTGTTGACAATGTAAGTTTTTAATTAATTTTAAATTGTTACATATTTTGATTTTAACTTTTAAATGCAAAATTTTCATAAATTTCAGTCTGATAATTCATGTTGTGGGAATAAATTTCTTTCAAAAAATATTGACATCTCTAATTCAAATAATGAGGTATGTTTAATAAAATCTGTAAGGCTTAGTTAAACATAAGTTTTTATTAAAATTAAGTTAATTTAATTTATATCAAAATTTTTAATCCTTTTATAATACTTGATTCTAAATATAATAAAGGAAACATCACATTTCAACTTTTTTTTTTACAGGTTCATTTAGTTCAGCATTTAGGCAAAAAAAATAGCCTCTATGAGTACTTTTGTGGTGAGCTTTTCAGTCGTGGAATTCTTAGTTGGCGTGTTCGTAGACCATCTCTTAATATTTGTGTTATGAATAATTACAGTCAGGAGAGTGGTAATTTTCAAGTATGTTTGTTTGCAACTTGTTTAGTTTTGCTATTTTTCTTTTTTGATTAAAATAAAATATAATTGTAAATTAAAAAAAAAATTTGTTGAATTTTTTAACTTTAATTTTAAACTTTTAAATTACTTTTTTTTTAAATAAGGATAAAGAATTTGTTCATGTAAAAGCGGAAACCATCAATTCTTCTAATATTTATAACTGTTCCTGTAAAACTTTTTCAACTGTTATTTATTTTCAATCAGATGATATGTCAAATGTGAATAATTGTTGTCATTGTCGATTATTACACCAGCTACTTCAAATGTTAGATAACCCAGATTTTGTGCCAGAAATTAGTTTAATAAACAGGAAAAAACTGGTAGAAAGTTTATTATGTCTAGCATCAAATGTTTTTAAGTTAGCTTCAAAATCTGGCGTAGAAAGATATTCAGTAGTATCTGATTCATGCACATTTATTACAGTTTTCGAACTTAGTAAATCGTTGAGAAAAGTAGTAAAGTGTCATGATTCGTTATGTCGAATATCTGAAGGATCCACTCGACAAGTTAACAATCTAGACAATGGTTTTGTGTGTTCACACCTGAAAGTTTTTAGAGAGTATTTTTATCTTATTCAAAATACAACTGATTGGATAAGTAATGACCAAGATGAATTTACACCAGCAGATGAGTCAGAAGTTCAACTACCAAAAGAAAAGGTATTTTAGTTGTTTCATACACATATACATTTGTCAAGTAGTAATATATATATCATGATTTAAAGCAATATTGGTGAGTTCATGTTGTTTAATTGTGCGCATTTTATGCACGCAATAGCTTTAATACAATGAAGAAATATCAAAGTGATTGGATTACAAAGTTTTGTTAAACATATTTCTTTATATATTGCTCACATGATTTTCTTTATATATTACTTTATTTCAAAAAAATTCAGATTAGGGTTAAAAGTTTCAAAAAGTTTTTTTTAAGGTTTTATAACATAATTTTCTTTAGTTTAAATAAACTATTTAATTACAAACATATGAGGTAAAATAATCCATTCATTTTTTCATTTAATTTTTGAAGGAAAAATTTGTCATGAAACTCAATGTTTGTTTTTCTTAGTTTATATGCTAAATGTTCGCATATTTGTCGTTTGTCAAACTCTAAATATATAAAAATTTATTTGATTAAGTTTTTGTTTTTAATAGTGGGAGGATGTGTTTGATGTAAAATCCGGTTTGTGGACGTTTGGACTAAATGCACCAAGTAAGAAGACTGTTTCCTGCGATCAGTTTAGTCATAAATTTAGCAGTGATATTATAAAAAGACAGTCTGCTACAAATGGGTATCCTTTTATGCCTTCTACGGATCTTGGAACCTGTGAATGTGGTGTAAGTATTTTTTTTTATATGGCTATTTTGACATTTAAAAATTTTTTATAATTAGTTTCAGCTTAGTCCTAGAGTAGAACAAGTTTCTCAGCTCTAGTTAAGTCAATTTCTTCACCAATAGGAATGATAATGATTATGATGACTTTCACTTTTTTAAAGGCTGGGTGGGTATCTGAATCTTTTTCAACTGGAATTACTGAGTTTTGTCATAAAATAAACATGTACACTGATCGTGAAGTGATTGAGTTTGATGTTTTTTTGCGCAAATGTTTATCAAATAATTGCACTGCTTATTGGGATGGATGGGAAGACTCTGTTTTTTGTTTGTCTAAATCAACATGTGCTGGTTATGAATTAGGTATATTATACACTTTAGGTGTGCAGTTTTTATATATATATATATATATATATATATATATATATATATATATATATATATATATATATATATATATATATATATATATATATATATATATATGATATATATATATATATATATATATATATATATATATATATATATATATATATATATATATATATATATATATATATATATATATATATATATATATATATATATATATATATATATATATAATATGCCATATTTGCTTAAACCTATTTTAAACCAGTTGTAATAATTGTACTTGTTTTTGTAAAATTTTAACAGGCTGGGAATTTGTTGATTTTGTCTTATGCAAAGGAACATTTAGTGGTTTTGTTAGTTTATATGTTAACAAATATAAGCGTAGAAATACATCTGCTCTGCCATTCATGTCAACACAGACGTTTATAGATTGGTTTTTTGCTTGGGCCTCCCACATGCACATTGATTTCAGACAAAAATGTCAAATGTGTCCAGAAGATCAAATTATATCAGTTCTAGCTTGTGATGCAACTAAAATTGGAATTAGTTTCAAAAATTCCTTCGTAAAACCTATTGAAACAGCTGAACTTAATGAGATTATTCAAACACCATCACGGCGATTTGATAGGTCATTTATATATAATTCTGAATTATCTGATCCTAAACGATTTTCAGATGCTAGAGCACATCTTAAAAAGGTTTGTCTTCTTATTCTTTCAGTTGAAAATTCAGATGATATTAGATTTGATGCTGATACTCTAAAACTAATCTCTATACTTATGAATTATATTCCGGCTGAATGTATACCATCATTTCAACTGATGGTTTCAGAATTACCAGTGCCACATGTTTTGCGGTGGTCCTACGCTAAAGTTTTTAAAGTACTTGCTGCTGATAGCTCTCTTGACAGTTTAATTCCTTTATGTTTCACTGATGAAATACTTTCCATAAGTGAACAATTTTTATCAAATGTAGGTGATTGTGAACTTTCAGCAAAGTTTTGTTATCTGCTGCGTTGTTTTTCTCCTGCGTTAGCTAGATTGGTAGAATTATCCTCTAACTACAACAATACACCTTCTGGAGATATTGTTTTATTAAAACATTATTGTTGTAATTTTGTTAAAAAAATTCATTTTGTTGATGTGCAACCACAAAATGCTGAAGTCATTAAGGATACTTATAACCCACCAAGATTTGGGAGAGCTTATTATTTTGAAAAACATGGTTGTCAAATTAGAAAAATGAGAATGTTTTCTGTTGATAAAAGTTCCAATAATAATTTGTTTGATGATATTCCTTCTGAAATTTGTAATAAGTTGTTTCCTCAAGTCTCAAAAAAAGGTGTATCATTTCTTTTTTTATGGTTTTGTCCTATGCATGGCCATTGCTATGGTTTTCATATAATACCAGGATCAGAAGGAAGAAAAGACCCACATGCTTCGTTGTACACTCATCTTGAAGTAGCTCCTAAAAATATAGTCTATGATTTTGCATGTAGTTTATCTGAATTCTGCCACAACCGTGAATCAGGATATTTTAAAGATACTTCTTTTTTCCATGATGTGTTTCATGGTTATACACATAAATGTGCCGATGTTTTTCGCTGCAATCGCTTGGGTAGTTTTTATCCAATAAATACTTCTATATGCGAGCAGTTCAATAGTTTTTTACAAAATATTAAGTCATCTGCTAAACTAATGACGCAAACTCACTTTTGTTTCTACCTTCAGTTTTTCATACATATTTGGAATCAAAGGAAAAAAAATCTCTTTGAAAAACGATTGATTATGTCTGAGAATACTAAAGATTAATATTAATTTACTGTTCTGGTTTTATCTTTGATGTTATTTAATAAACTTTCTTTTTACTTATTTTATATTAATACTTTTCCCTTACTTTTTGTTTATATGAACGACTAATATATTTATCTTCATTTTGTTTGCAGACGGCACTTATTTTGTTCTTTTAGTAGTGTCAACTCCTAATTTGAAGTAAAGAACTTTTAAATTTAACAGAACAATTTAAGTCTAATGAACTATACCTATAGTGATAAAACTAAATATACACTTTTTCATAGAAAAAGTTTTTCATAGAAAGATATGCTGTTCCTTCAAAAATACCTAGTCTATGTATTGAGAACTCATAAATAAAAGAGAGCACTTGTGTACCTTTTTAGGTGCAATTCTTGATGAAAATTTTTCCTGGAGACAACCTTAGTATAAAAAAGAAAAGAATGTTTAAAAAAATGTATGCTTTTTTTTTTTTTATTTATTGGTACCAACGTAACCAAGATGCAAAAAACTCAGTACACAAAATCATGCTATAAAAATATCCTTAAAGGCTATTTAGTAACCTAAATATAAATATTTTTTTTACTAAACATTTACCACATACTAATTTTAATGAACAAATTTGATTTAAAAATTACACCTTTAATATTCTTTTATTTAATATTTTTTTATTTATTTTTTTAAAAGCTATTTTGCTTAATATATTTTGAGGTTTTCTTTTATTTTTGATTCTATTATTCTATTTAAAATTGTAATAATTTGTAATCTTGTTATTGTAACTTCTCAAAAAGCCAAACTTTATAAGAAACATTTGTGATTGAAATTTTGTATTACTTTTTTTGTTTTTTGAATCACCTTATGTTATGTTTCCGTTTTTGCACTGTATTTTTAGTTGTTTTTAGGTGATATTTTACACCTAAAGTATACAATTACTATTATTTACAAATTATTATTATTTACACTTTATTAACGATATCCAACTGGATTGATATGGTTGATATTCAAATTCTGTTCAGACGACTTTCTTGTTAGCAGTCGTTTAGATGATTTTCTTGTTGCTGGTAATTGACTTTATATTTGTATTTATTTTTATATTTACTTGTTTATTTATGTATATTTGAAATAGCATTTGAATATTATATTAAAATTGAAAAATGAAATAGCCTAATTTTTGTTTTATTATTATATTTAATAATCCTTGTTCAATCATTAAACTCTTGCAAAAAGTTGCAGACAGAGTCTTAAAGTCTCTTTTAAGCCCAGCTCAAAAAACAATTTTTAAAGTTTTTTTTATTAATAAATAAAAAACTTATTGGGAAATTTTTTGTGGAAAAAAAAAAAATTAGAGCAATAATGTTTTATAATCGATTTTGCCTGTCGAATTATTTTTTGAAAATGTGTGTGAAAGCGAACATCTACAAACATTTTTCTATGTTGTCAAATTCTGAGTAGCGCAACGCAAGACCATAAAAATGATAGACGTAAAGCGTTGAAGCCTTAAGTTTGTGCGTATGTGACGTCACTTTGTGGCAGAAAAATAATACTTAAATTTTTTTATGAAAATTCCTTATATTAATAATATATAGAATATATAAAAGTATATTCTATTTATTTTAATGGGATATATTCTAATAAAGACTAAATATAGTAATTACTATGTTATTTCTTTAAAACTATTTATATATTACTTTTGAAATAAATACCGACTCTTATCCGTGAAATGATATATCTGTGCTAGTTTTATATATTTTTATGCAATTGTATGCACTATAAGTAAAATTAGTCAAAAAATATTAAATAAATACAAGAGCAAACTCGACGTAAAAAAAATTTTTTGTTGCCACAAACAAAAAACTTTTTTGGCTTCACTCAGATTAGCACTATATAGCTACGGCCGCGTCTTTAGTTTTTAACCCTTTTGTGACGAGTGACCCGTATGGCAGTTCATAAAATTTGCTTCTAAATGACGTGTGGCGGTTCATAAACAATTTTGAATATTTCAAAAAATCTAGAGCACTAAGGGAAAACTTTAAATTTATTTTTGAAATTTGAATAATTTATTAAGTTAATGCTTCAAACCGTTTGTTAATTGCGTTTATAGATACCTCAAAAATCAATTTTAAAAATTGACTAAAAATAGATTAAATTATACTGATATAAATAAAATCCTTGATATTTTTTTCAATAATAGTGGTGGAAATTTTTTTTGTTTGATCACCACTGTAAATGCCTCTTTTATTTAATATTGTTTATCAAATTCTTCTTTATTTATTTAAGGTTACATAAAAAAACTATATATTTTTGTTAATTTCAACATGGTATATTTTGTTCATGTAACTAAGATAATACAAAAATTTGAAAATTTTTAAATAGTCTGAAAGCTAATTTTTCGACAAAAAAAACAAGGTCTTATTTGTAAGATTCTGACTAGTAGTTTTTATTTTATACACTTTCAATTGATCATGACACGGCTGTTTCAGAGTGAGCTTTACGGCTTCTTGTTTTTTTTGGAAAAAATTGACTTAGGGGGTGTTACTAAAACATTTATAACTTTTGAAATATTTGAGATAATTTTGTTTTGTAAAAAGAATAAAAAACAACAATAAAATGTTTTATCATACGAACTTTAATACAATAGTAAAAAAACTTCTTTTATTTAATAAAAAACGCGACAAATGATGAACTTGGCTATATTTTAGTAATTAGTTGTTACTTTTTATCAAAAAAAAATCAGAAAAATATATTCCCGATAATTATAATCAGATACACTAGTTGTTTGACTATTGTTAAAATAAAAGAACCTTACTTAATTGTTAAAGATTAACAAAAACAGTCTTTATTGAGAGGTCTGCAAGCAAACCGCATTTTTTGCAAAATTACGAAAGATGTCTTAAAAATGGCTTAAAGAGGGATAAACTGTTAATTGAGTACGTTTTTAAATATGAAAATAATTCACTAAGTTGATAAATTCAATGCATTACAAAATAGTCAGATTTCGATTTTGAAATATTTAGTCTTAATATTTTAAGTTAAAGTCTTTAAAAAATTTAAGCGATTTATTTCTTTCTATGCACACAGTTTTAATAATATGGTGAAAGGTTGTTAATAAATAAAGACTCGCAAAGTCTCATAAAATAATTCATGACCAAAACCAAGTTAAAGTTTTAGAATTAATCTCAGTTTTGGTAATAGAATTATTTTATGGCACTTGAATCAATCTCTTCTCACAAAAAATAAAACATTTGTTTAAATATACAACTAGCTAATTTAAATTGTTTGATAATGTGTTTTTATTCTCATAAAAAACTGTTTTATAATAAGTTGATCCACTGATAAGTTCTTTAAGTAGAAAACGATCTTTGTACACTTAGTTGATAATAAATTGAGGCTCCATTCTAAACCAGAAGAACAGTTTTTGTTCAACAGATTTGCAATAGTGACAATAACTTTTACATTTTCTTTATTTAAACTGTATCTTTAAACTAACTTGTTATTTATGAGTCTTAAATTCTATTCTTTAACCAGAGAAAAGGTATGTTGAGCAGAGGTACTGCAGAGGTAGAACTAACTTCTGATGATAATAATCAAATGGGCATCTAATATTTAAATTAAATGTTACATATAATAAAATACAATACATTTTTTAAATTAACTACACAAACAAATATTTTATTTCATAGCCAACAAACATACCAGTTGCTCTGATCATAAGTTAAAGTAGTAAGCTATATTTTTACACCAATTTGATGCTAGACCTATATACCATTCTTTAACCTAGATGGTTGCATAGGTATAATTAACTTGTGAAGATAAGAATAAAATAGGCACCTACCTAATATATAAAATTAATATAATAAAAAACAATAAATATTTTAAAGTAACATTATACAGGCATGATAAAACAAAATAAAATTTTCTTATTTACTATTTAAGGACCTTATATATTATATATCAGATATAAAAAAAATTTTTCCTTAAAATTTTTAATTATTTAATTTTAAATATTGTTTTAGTTGTTATAAATAAGATGAATTTAGTATCTTAAAAATTCATTGCCTATAAGTTTTTATTACATTTAAAAAAATTAAATTTTTAAACAGTGATTCAAAGACGTAAGTTCTATGAGGACAATCTACCCATTCTAAAAAAAATACATTCAACAGAAGCCGGCATTGTTGGTATAAAAAAATGTATACAAGTTGAAAAACTACGCCAGGAGTTTGAAGACAGATACTAGAGACTTATAAGAAGCCCAAGGATTATTCTGGATACAAGGATTACTCTGGTACGTAGTAGAACTTTTTGAAAACAAAACTCATTTTCAAAGCATACATTTTTGCTGAGAAATGTGTTTAACGGCTCACATTGGATGTTATTTTAAATCCATGTCTTTGTTTCTAAAAGAGTTATTTTTGAATTTTGTACGACGCAATTTTGCGCAAGAAATGACAATAAATAAAATGAAAACTTCTTAATTTTTAGCTAACTAATTTTAATAAAGGTTCCGCTCTAAACTTTATTTTTAAAATAATGATCCAGATTTCATCAATTTATATTTTTACCATGGAATTTTTATGCGATTTTTCTTTTCATATCGTCATTTCTTTTTATTGGAAATAAACAATATTTTATTATTTTGCATAAAAATGGGAGTAAAAATAAACCAAGTTGAACATTTTACAAATCCTAATTTTAATCCTAAAGTTTTTAGGGTGTCTATGTAATTTAACTAATTCATTTCCAGTAAGGCTCTTAGCAACCACTATTATTGGGATTTAACAGAAAACAAAGAATATTGTTGAAGAGTCAAAAATTAGCTGACAGAAAACTGTAAGTTTACTATTAATATAGAAAATTAAATTAATTAGATAAATAACATTTTTAAGACCATAAATGAAGAGAGAATGCGTTTTTGTTGAATCACGGGGAACGCGAGATCAACTTTTGGTTGATGGAACAAGAAAAATATAACTATCTTATTTCAAGATAGAAAAATTTTTGACAATATATGACATATATATAAATTTTGACACACGCACACACACATATATATTGATATATATATATATATATATATATATATATATATATATATATATATATATATATATATATATATATATATATATATATATATATATATATATATATATATATATATGTATATATACATACCTAACCCTAACCATTTAAAAACCTCAGTGCGCACTTGGGTTTTTTTGTTTTGTTTATGGTCTTGTCACAGAGCAACGCGAATAAGGAAGTTCACGCCTCCTTCCTTACCAATGTCGTTTATTGGGCTAAAGTCGACGTCGAACCTATTGAGCCAGAGCTCGAACCACTGCGCTACGGCTATTTCTTGAAAAGTAACTGCACTAAATAATAACTGACTCAAGGCAATATTTTAAATCAAAAATCATTTTATATACGCTCCACTACGCCCGTTCCTATAAAATGTGTAGACAAATGTGTCTAACACTTGTAAAATGTTAATGCTAATTGCAACTCGCTGATTCGCGATTCTAATGTTAAAGTCGGATTTAGAGTTTGACTGAAAAACGTTTTTAAAAAATTTAAAGTACTTTTGAATTCCCTTCTCCATTTAATAACGCATATATAAGAAATTATTAACACTATGGGAAGATGAAAGAAAAAACCGATTTGCTTGATATAAGGTTTCTTTTTCTGCCGAACGAAATTTGGCCAGATACTATGATAATCTGTTATAAATCGTATTTGCATTGTCTATTCATTGATTTTGATCTCAACATTAACTTGTGCAAATCATCCTTGCCAATATCTGTAATATATTTTGCTTAAAGAACAAGTCAAGTGTAGACAGTTATATTTAAAAAAAAAAATTGAAGCAGAACTTAAACATAATTTTTCTTAATAGCCAAAATAGTCAATAATATACAACAATTTATAGTTCAATAGCTAAATTATTCAAAAAAGTTATATTTACAAATACTAAAAAAATTCAAAAAAATTATATTTACAAAGATTAAATAAGAATATAAATAAGTATTTTATTTTAAAATAGAAAAGCTATAAATATATATTATTACAAAGTTGAAAAGTTATACTATTACAATATTATAGTAATAGTATAACTTTTCAACCTTTTTTGTCAGCTCCTGTCAAATCCTGCACTAACCATTTATAAATGCCAAAAACAGATATTTTTGTCATAAATTAAAAGTCATTAATATTAACAAGGCCTTCTTAAACAGGCCGCGACAGCTTATTATCTGTAAAATTAGCGAAGGCCGACTTTTTTACGGTAAAAAATTAATATTTACATTTACTTTTTAAGCAAACTTCAGAAACAAATAAAGAGCTTTTTCAAGACAAAATATTTTGATTATTTTTACGTTTAGAAATAAGCTAATTATAATAAAGATTTACAGATTTTAGTTACAATAAAGATTTTTATAATAAAAATTACAATAAAGATTTACTGGTTTTAGTTAAAAATGAGTAAATCTTACTTTTATAACTACATGTTCATATTAGCTGTTGAACACATGTAATACAAATAATGAACTTTTTGATAAAAATTAAAGTTATTAACTTTGAAATAAAATACAATATTATTAGCTTTGAAATAAAAAAAAACTAAAATCTTTATTGAAAATATGCTTCCTCGTAACAAAGACAGCCTTCGCTAATGTTACGGAAAATGAGCTGTTGTGCCATTCTGTAAGCCTTTCTGTTTAAGAAGGCCTTGAAGTCATAAATTAAAAACAACCACCTGTGGAGAAGAGGGTTTTTTAGTATATACACTGCCTAAGCGTTTGGGTAAATATGATTATCATTTATAAAGAATTACATATATATTTAGAAATGTGCTTTGAAATTCCTTTCAAAATTTAAGCTCATACATATTCCAGAAACAAATAACTTAATAAAACTGTCATTAACATAATGAATAACATAATGAGTTTTGGCTAGACCAAGCAATCTTTTTATTAAATAATAAAATAAATAATAAATTTTAGAAAAAAGAAATTACTATATTCAGGTTGTGTGTATATATATATCACAGAAGTGATAATCGATAAGTCAGGCAAGAAAGATGACATAAAATTCTTGCGTCATCTGACACACACAAACAGATATATCTATATATATATATCTGTTTGTGTGTGTGTGTCAGATGATGCAAGAACTTTATGTCATCTTTCTTGCCTGACTTATCACTTCTGTTCCATTCACAAAATTTGATTGCAACTCCTTATAACTGTTCACCAATTGAGGTACAAAAGGATACTCAATGTTTTGAGACTTAGTGCTTCCTCCAATTCCCTTATTCATCACCACACGCAGAATCCTATCATGCACGTGATGCTGTCAAGAAATAAACAACGGCTTGTCAAACCCCTCGCTAAAAAATTTCGCTCAAGTCTTACAACAACACCATTCTTCTTAGCAGTGTTAAAACTGGTTGTGTCAAGCTGCACCATGCAGCTAATTTCACGTTTTTTCTTTTTTCAATACTACAACCTCATATTCGTTTTCATTAAGGTGCTTTCATCAAAATGAAGATACTGTTGCTGATTTTGTTTTGCTTACTTTTTGGAAACATAACAGTTACTAATTACAAAACTATTAACCCTCTGCCTCCCTATCGCTTTACGTCAGTTGTTGACAACCCCTAAGGAAGCCAAATCCTCTTGTACAGCAGAACTACCGCAAGGTATTTTTATTTAATATTTTTTATTTCTAGCTGAGATCAGATACAAGTAATACTGAAGAACTCTGTGATTACTCTGCTCTTGTTATGTTTCTTTTCTGGTGGGCAAGTATATTTATCATCAT